TTGACAATAGAAAGGCATAAACCACAAACGATTCGACACTGTTTTTCTAAATTCCTCCGGTCTGAAGAGCGGACGGACAGAAGGCCTAACCAGAATAAATAAAGTTACGTTTTCAATTTCCTCCGGCGTAGTGAGGAATTGAAAACGTAGCTTTATTTATTCTGGATAGGTCTTCCGTCCGTCCGCACTAGTCCATCACGAAAACGGAACTTTTCGAAAAAGCTCTTCAGACCGGAGGAATTTGAAAACGCCGGCTCTCCGTTTTACAGTGGAAGGAAAACATTTTGAAAATGGAGCTCTTCGAAAACGATATCGTTACAATAACCATGATGAATTTTGAATTTACATATAATACCTAACTGGCATGGACAATGTCAACTGTTTCCCTATACTAACAGACGTATGCACAATATGTTAATTTTTACTCCACAAAAGTTTATTTATGCGGAATATGTTTACTCTCCGTACTACCTCCTCATCTTATCAGGTCGTTAAACAATGGAACTCACTGCCGGACAATGTTCAAACTCTGAACCTTAATGACTTAAACAAAAGCATTAGCTAGCCTTAACTTACTGTAAATTTGGGACATTTTGTAAATTAAATTTCTGCTTAATATAGTATTTTAAAATATTCAGTATACAGATTTATTTCATTTTAGCCGTTAATTGTAAATATTGTACAGAATTGTAGTTTTTATTTCACTGTATATTATGTTGATTTCTTTTGTTATTTTCACTCGGAAAAGTTAGCTTGTATATATAATAGCTACTCTTAATTTCGAGAAAAAATAAAGTTTATGTATGTATGTATGTATATTACTCTCCCCGATCTTTAATCAAACAGAAATGCAAAATGACCGGTGAATGATGCGTTTTCAAATTTCTCCGGCGTAGTGTGGACGGAAAACATTTGATGAGTTTTCAGAGTAAAACTTCCGATTTTTTCCTCCGGCGTAGTGTGGCGCCTAATACTAATTTACATTTTCTCGGACCGTGAACATGCATTAAAACGGTTTACGGGATCAGCACGGTAAAGACATACTCTGAAGACGTTTATGGCCTTTGTATGGCTTTATTACTACCTTGGTTATGGTATAATTGAAGAAACTGCAGGTTTGCTAGAAATGTCCGAG